GGGGCCACATTTTACAGCAAAAAGAAAATTCACACCACCAGTAGTAGCAAGGTAGTCATGGAATTTTTAAACAACATGAGTGTGGCTTATGGGAGATTTTTTTTTAAAGATTTTATTTATTTATTTATTTATTTATTTATTTATTTATTTAAGAGAGAAAGAGAGAGCAAGAGAGCAAACGAGTCAGGGGAGGGGCAGAGGCAGAGAATCTCAAGCAGACTCCCCACTGAATGTGGAGCCTGACATGGGACTTGATCTCATGACCCTGAGATCATGACCTGAATTGAAACCAAGAGTCAGACACCTGACTGAGCCACTCGGGTGCCTCACTGGTGGAAGAATTTTGAAGCAAAGTTATTAAAGAGTTGTATTAGGTTCTCCAGAGAAACAAAACCAACAGGATATATACACATATATATACACACATACTTATTATATGTCTATAATATACATGTATACACCATATATGTAAAGAGATTTGTTACGAGGCACTGGTTCACACTATTATGGAAGCTAAGAAGTCCCAAGATCTGTAGAAGGTCTGAGAACCAGGGGAGTCAATGGTGTAAATTACAGTTCAAAAGTCATTGGGCCTGGGGATCCCTGGGGGGCTCAGCACTTTAGCACCTGCCTTTGGCCCAGGGCAGAGGATCTTGGGGCCCCGGGATTGAGTCCCACATCGGGCTCCCTGCATGGAGCGTGCTTCACCCTCTGCCTGTGTCTCTACCCCCCCCTCTCTCTGTGTGTCTCTCATGAATAAATAAATAAAATCTTAAAAAAAAGAGTCATTGGGCCAAAGACTCAAGGAGAGCTGAGTTTGAGCTTAAAGGCTGAAAAGGACCAATGTCCCAGCTCTGCAGTCAGGCAGGTAGAGTGCTCTTTTACTTAGTCTTCTCTTCAGTCTGGGTCTGAAGACTGTAAAAGACTGATATCCCAGGCCAAAAGTAAGGCGAGAGGAATTCCTACTTAGCCTTTATGTTCAGGTCTTCAACTGATTGGATGAGGCCCACCCATATTGGGATGAGCAATCTGCTTCACTCAGTCTACAGATTCAAATATTAGTCTCATTCAGAAACACCCTCACAGATATACCCAGAAGTAATGTCTGAACAATTATCTAGACATCCTGTGGCCCAGTCAAGCTGACAAAGAATCAGCCAGCATAGGGGCCAAAGTAAAAGTCCACAATTCAGGACAACAGAGGCACCTGGTGATTCACCCCAAAGTCACAATGCCAGCTTGTTCTCCTGGAAGACCAAGCTCTTGGTCTTCTAGAGAAGAGCCTGGGCATTTTGATCTAGGTGGTCATGTTCAGGAAGTGGCTTCTCAGTAGAAGTCCACATGATAAATGGGCTTTGATAGAATTCTCATAATAAAACGACACAGGAAATATTCAATATCTCTTTTTGTTCACTCAAGCTCAAGGAACTTTGTATCTCCTGGCATCTGCGGCAAAGAGAAGCTTACCTACTCCAGCCCCCTTGTCGACAAATGAAGCAGCCCTAGCCTCAGAGGCTGGGTAATGCATCCTTAGGTGCAGAACAGGAACAGAACCCAGGCCTCCTAGGGCACCCAGGTGGCTCAATCTGTTAAGCATCCTGATTTTGTCTCAGGTCATGATCTCATGGGTCACGAGATCAACCCCACGTCCTTGCTCAGTGGGGAGACTGCTTAAGATTCTCTCCCTTTTTCTCTTTGCCCCTCCTCCTGCACATTCTTTCTCTCTCTCTCAAATAAATAAATAAATAAATAAATAAATAAATAAATAAATAAATCTGAAGAAGAAGAAGAAGAACAACAACAACAACAACAACCCGGGCCTCCTGATGCCTAGCCTAATTATTTTTCAATACCTATAGGGCTTTGTTTGTCCACCACTCAGATTTCTTTCAGTACCGGAAGTGGTTTCACAAGCAATAGTGAGTCAAACGAGGCAGCAGAAGGCCTCATGGAAACATTCAGGTATGACCCCAGCACTTTAGTGATTAGAACTCAGGCTCTACAGTTGAGCTGCCTGAGGTCAGATCAAAGGGTCACCATTTACTGGCTGGAACATCTGGAATAAAAATTATTTTGATCTCACTGTGCTTTAGTTTCTCTGCCAAGTCAAGGATGGTATCAATATGGATACTACTTATGATGTGCAGGCTTGATAACAGCCCTTCAATCAGGCCATGATCACCTCCCTGTCTCCCAGCTGAAGAAACTGGGGTACTCAGAGATGAGGTGACTTAGTGGAGATTGCACACCTCAAGTTGAGGAGTGTGATGTAAGGCAGCCTTGCTCTAGCCAGGCATGCCCACAGGTCTCTCACACCTGTCTTTTTTTTTTTTTTAAGATTTTATTTAATTATTCATGAGAGACAGAGAGAGAGAGAGAGAGAGAGGCAGAGACACAGGCAGAGGGAGAAGAAGCAGGCTACATGCAGGGAGTGCAACATGGGACTGGATCCTGGGACTCCAGGAACACACCCTGGGCCAAAGGTGGCACTAAACTGCTATGCCACTGGGCTGCCCTTTCACACCTGTCATACAGCATATTTGTGAAGATTAAATGAGACTAAATGGCAGTGCCTAGAACAAAGCCTGATCTATAATAAGCCAATTTAGGCCTTATTAATATGCTACTGTGTAAAAACATTTTAAAGGATGGCATGCTAATAAATCCAATTCTGTATATACTTGGCCCTTGAACAACATGGGTTTGAACCATGCTCTATATGTAGATTTTTTTTGCATAAATACAGCACCGTGAATGTATTTTCTCTTATGATTTTCTAAATGTTTTCTCTACCTTACTTTATTGTAAAAATACAGTGTATGATACATACGAAATATGTCTTGATTAACTTTATGCAATCAGTAAGGCTTCCAGTCAACAGTAATTTAATTTCTGGGGAGTAAAAAGTTATATTTGGATATTCAACTGCGTGGTGGGGGGGCTGCACCCCTAACCTCCACGTCATTCCAGTGTCAAATGTATTAACTGATACTCTTTAAAAATTCAGAGTGAACGAATTCAGAGGAAAACACTATGAAAAAATTTTTTTACATAAATGTACAATGAAATGTTCTCCCTTGAGTCTGATTCTATGGAAGTTTAAATGTCAGGCTAGAAATCCCTGTATTTCTAAGACTTGCCTCAAATGTTGTTTGGTGTAAATCACCTTCAGGATATCAGAGCTTCCCCCGCCCCTAACATATTATTAGAAAACACAGGTAAGCAGAGCTAGAGCCAAAGCTTCAAGAAGTATATGGCCTTGTGTTCCCAACACAGTTCTTTTGATTATAAGCCCCAGCCCTGATTTACTACCTCCGGAAATAAATGCAGGGGAGTGCACACCATAGGAGCACATCATGTAGGCAGCGGATGCATTTCATTTAGCCTGGGTTAGGCTAGCTCCAATGGAAACCCAGACTGGGATCTGAAAATAAGCCTGATTGATTCTTGATTTAAATACGAAAGGACATACAACACTTTCTTTCCAAAATTTCAGGTACGCTAAAATATCATGTGAGTATAGCTTAAGATCAGATTTTTTCTAGTTTAAAATAAGCCCAGATTTAAAAATCTGATAGTTCAGTCTTTTAAGTTCCACACAAGTCAATGCCTGAGGCCACCTCCCGAGCTCCACGTCTTTGGACTGAAGGGAAGTGCCCGGGACACCCCCACCGGCGGGTGGCAGGCAGCGCGCCCGCCCGCTGGACGAGTGGCTCGCAGTGCCGGGCTCTCCCGTGGGTGGCGGTGGCCCTGCTCCCACCCGCGGCGACCCTGGCCAGGGCTCCGACGCCTGCGGGCTTCCCTCCCGCGCCTACAGCGCACCCCAGCCCCGCTCTCCTCACCGTTCGGCGCCCCTCTGCCCGGGTCCCCCAAGGCTCGGCTCCCCTCCCTCGCTCAGGTGTCCTCATAGTTCTGCTCCCCTTTAGTCTGCCAGTCCCGGGGTCACCCCGCAGCTACTCCCCCCTCTCCCCGGGGCTGCCCAGGCTTCTGCCCCCCTCTCCCCGGGGTCACCCCTTAGCTCACCCCCCCTCTCCCCGGGGCTGCCCAGGCTTCTGCCCCCCTGTCCCCGGGGTCACCCCTTAGCTCACCCCCCCTCTCCCCGGGGCTGCCCAGGCTTCTGCCCCCCTCTCCCCGGGGTCACCTCGCAGCTACTTTCCCCTCTCCCCGGGGCTGCCCAGGCTTCTGCCCCCCTGTCCCCGGGGTCACCCCGCAGCTACTCCCCCCTCTTCCCGCCCGATCCCCAAGGTTCAGCCTCTGCGTCCCGGGTCTGCCCCGCATCTGTCTCCCGTCTCGCACGTCCGAGGCCCGATGCCCGGCTCCCCCTCCCGGGTATCCCCACGGTTCTCCCCCTCTCCGGGGTCTCCCCCGCATCTGCGCCCCCTCGCCGGGTGTCCCCCCAGGTCTCCGCCCCCCGGCCCCGAGGTGTGGGGTCGCCGCCGGCGGCACGGGCGGAGCGCACTCACCGCGGCGCGGGCTCTGGGGACGCGGCGGGCGGCGGGGGCGGCGGCGGCGGAGTCCCGGGCTGCGGCGGGCGGCCGACCGGGTGGAGCGAGCGGCTCCCGCCCGAGAGAACCCCGCCGTGTCATTTGACCATATAAGGAGACGCACGCCTCCCGGGCGCCGGCCACGCGGGCTCTGCGCGCGGGAGCTGCGCGGGGGCGCGGGGGCGCGGGGCGGGGGGGCTCCCGGCGGCCTCCCGCGGCCCGGGGCGCGCGGACCCCGACTCTCTTTGTGTGCTTCGGCCCGCGATCGCCGGTCTCTAGCGCGCGGGGGTCGCCGGCGCTCCGGGGCAGGCTCAAAGGGCCGGGGGGGGGGGGGGGCAGGGCCGCGCTCGGGTCTCCGCCTTCGGGGCGCAGAGGCAGGGGCCTCCCCACCCGCGCCCTCCCCGCCCGGTCCGGGGAACGCGACGGCAGCCGGAGCCCGAGAAGGGGGGTGCGGGGTGCGGACGGGGCCACGGGTCGGGGTCGCCCGCAGGGGGCCAGCCTGGGGTGTACTCGCACCTGGGGCGTCCTGGGCTTCTGGCGCAGACCGGTCCCCGCGTCGGGGGAGCCTAGCAGAGGGCCGGGACGGGTAGCGCCAGGTTCTTTGTTCCGCTAGGCGGGGGCGAGGGGCTGGAGGGACGCTCCGCTGCTCCTCCGGGGCGAGGAAACAAAGGTGAGCTGGAGAGAGCGCCGCCCGCCCCGAGAGCCCAGCCCTGTCCCGGGGACGGCCGGCACCCCTCAACCTGCAGGAAGGGCGTCACGGTGGAAGGGTTTGCTCTGGAGGGGGTGGCCAACCGCCGTGCAGCCGAGGGAAGAGGAGCTGATGGGAGCACGGCAGAGGGAGAGCAGGGTCCCGTGGGCAGGCTTGTTCTATTTAACCGGCAGTGGGCCTCCGAGAAGGAAGAGCTGCTGGATTCTCTTCTCCCGGTTGACGCTCCATGTCTGCGGCTGTTTCAGACTCTCCGTGGGTCTCCATCGAGCAATCACAGAGCTGGAGAGTCCTATTAGCTACCCTTACTGTGCACTAGCTCTGCGTGTTCTATCGTTTGATCCTCACCCCTTGAAGATAAGGATTAATACCCCAGTTTGATGGGGAGGAAATTTCAGCTCAGAGAGATTTGCTCCAGGCCTCCTGAGAATAATCATGCCAGCTGAGATTTGACCTAGAGTCTGTCAGATGGCAGAGCCCTGCAAGTAGCTTGCAGACAGGAAATGCCCCTGTTCCCACCAGGCTTCCAGAGGGCTGAGACTGGCCACATCAGTGAGGCCAGCCTGCCTTCCCCCACTCCTCCCTGAACCTGACAGGTTCTCCCCAGAACAGAAGCTTTCGTTCCAGACCTGCATTCCCGCTGATAGGCAAAGCGGGCCAGTATCTTGAGAGAAGTGTGTGCAGACAAGCCTCTTCCCCACTGACAGTTATTTAGATGTGTTGTCTGTAGAGTTGCAAGTTACAGAATCATCTCCCAGAGAGAGAGAGAGAGGGAAAGATGAGGGGGAAATGAAAAGACTTAACTAGCTGCAATGAATAAGATGGGTTTGAATGATTTTGAAACAAAGAATACACTATTTCAAAAATAAATTCTCATGAGCCAATTTGGGGAAGTGTGACACTAACAAGATAGTGGATGACATAAATAGATTATTATTAATTTATTTTAGGTGTGATACTGAAACGATACACACAGAGAGAGATTCTTAAGGCCCTTAGCTTTCAGAAATAGCGCCAGAATATTTACCAGTGAAATAACATTATGTCCGAAATCGTTGCAAAATAATTTGCGGTGGGAATGAATACGGCCAATATATATATGAAATAGTATCAGCCATGGATTAATAACTGGAAGTTGGGTGATGGGTGTGTGGGGTTCATTATACTAGTCTCTTTCCTTTTGTAATGCTTGAAAAATTCTGTAATGGAACATTTTTTTAAATTACAAATGCACATACCATTTGACTTTGACCCAACGTTTCCCCTTACAGGAAATTATCTTACAGATAGACTTGCTCATGTGTAAACTGATACACATAGAGCAGTACTCCTTGTGGAACTCTTCATAATAGTAAGATATTGGACCATGTCATATGTTCATCAACAGGGACTAGTTAAATATTGTATGGTACATGGTAGAGTCATTTCTATATATAGCTGTTGAAAAGAACAAGGTAGCTATATTTATTGATTTGGCATGATCTCCAAGTTATGTCCATGGAAAGAAAAGTGGATATTAAGCAACCATTTGTGCTAAGAAATAAAGGGAGGAAGACAATGTATGCATGTAATAGTGGTTGCCTCTGGGGAGATCTGGGGAGGTGAGGGCCAGGAATAGAAGGGAGCTTAAGTTTTACTCTATATACTTGTGTTTCTTTTAAATTTTGTGCTATAAAAATATATTATTCATTCAAAAAATAAAAATATTTTAAAAATTAAAGCAACACATGCTCCTTTAAGACAAACACGAGACAAACTTGTTTAACTATAGAAAATCAAGGAGGTTTGCTAGAAATAGAGGCAGGAGGAATATAATTCTGAGTTGAATGGTATGCACTTTCTGGAACAATTTTAATCAACGGACGAACTATTTTAAAAATAAATTTTGGGGGTGCCTGGGTGGCTCAATTGGTTGTCTGCCTTCGGCTCAGGTCATGATCTTGGTGTCCTGGGATAAACTTTGTATGGGGTTTCTCAGCAGGGAATCTGCTCCAGTATTCTCTCTCTCCCTCTCACTCTGCTCCTTTCCCTGATCGTGCTTACTCTTTCAAATAAATAAATAAAATCTTAAAAAAATAATAAAATAAATTTTTATTAGACAGTCTGGTAAAATGTTTTTTGAAAGGTTCTATCTTTTCTACGATTGTATTTGCAGGGCCTAACTATAGGGCATTGCACACAGTATGTGCCTTAATTAAAACATATCGAAAGGATGGATGGATCACAGAAGACTTGTTTAATATGTGGCAAGTCTTTCATTTTGTAACTGATTATTTTATAGTATAGCAGATAGAATATTATAGAAAATAGAATGCTATGACAATATAACTTGATCTCTGGATCAAGGTCTGGATTTGAATCCCTGTCCTACCTAGGACTTACTGAGGTTCTGTGGCCTTGGGCAACCACCAAACCTCCCTAACCCTCAACCTACTCATATGTAAAATGGGTGAATAACAGATTACTTTGCTAAATTGTTGGGGAGATCCTTTGAGATGACTCCTATAAATCACTAAGCAGTATTAGTGCAGTCCTTGGCACATAGTAGGTCCTCAGTAAAAATGGACATTTATTTCATGGTATTTTATTTGACGGTAAAGGGAAGATGAATCGAGAATAAGAGGAAAATGCGAAGGTGGTGAAAAGGTACAATTTTCCAGTTATAAAATAAATGAGTCCCGGGGAGGTAATAGACAGCATGGTGACTATAGCTAATGATATTGTATTGTATATTTGAAAGTTACTAAGAGAGTGGATCGGAAAAGCTCTCATCACGAGAAAAAAAAATGTTAACTGTGGTAGATGTTAGCTAGACTTACTGTGGTGATCATTTAGCAGTGTCTACAATTATCAAATCATCATGCTGTGCATCTGAAACTAACATAATATTATATGTCCATTATATCTCAATAGAAAAAGAAGGAAAACAGACTTAATTCTCACCAGAAGGAAGGAAGGAAGGAAGTTGAGGTTGTTATTGTAAAGATAAAAGATTGTCTTTTTGACAGAAAAATGCTCTGCTATGGATAAAAGTTTAATTCGTGGAAGAAAAGAAATTAAGGAATTACATTTCCTGGGAAAGGCATAGAGGCAACTCTGATAGGTAATTCAAATAATTCAAGCTTCTCTTGTTAATTAAGATTCTGTAATTCCCCCACCAGCCAGTATCCTCACTCTGACTTCTCTCATGGGGGGCAGTTTCAGGGATGGGGTAGCTAGGAAGCGGGGAAAGAAAGGGAAGGCTGCGCCCAGTGGCCGGTGGTCCCAAAGTATGATCTGGGACCAGCAGCGCCGGGATCACTCAGAACCTGATTAGAAGTAAAACATCCCGTTTTAACAAGCCCTCCAGGTGATTCTGATGACTAACAGTGCCTTAAGGTGAAATACTCCCTGGGGATTCCAACTCTGGACTCAGTAATTTACCAGAAACCCAGATGTTAGTTTCGGGGGGTGGGGGGGAGTGGAAACAGATACTCTAAACACAGACTGGGCTCTGGAACTCTCCAATCCAATCACAAGCAGTACTTACTCTGTCATGTACTTCATGGGAGGGAAGCACAAAGTAGAAAACTTAGAAGGCAACTGCTCACAGCCTGTGTCTCAGTGATAGAAATGCTGAAACCAAAAAAAAAAAAAAAAAAAAAAAAAAAAGAAATGCTGAAACCTAATTCTCTCCTCCCAGAGGCCAAGAGAGGAAGGCACAGCTTCTGGAAGTGTGGTCAGGCCTGTAGACCCGGTAAGGGGGAGCAGGCGGGGTTTCCTCCTTACCTGGGCCACCTCGAAGGTGCTAGGAGACCTCACCAGCATGGGGAAGAAAGGAACACGTGAAAACATGGGCGGAAGCTCAGACCTCCCTAGGTCCCTTACCCTAACTGACCATTTCCATGAGGATTTTTATAGCACTCCTCCCATTTCAGAAGCAGGACTTCTCCTGGGCAGTCTGCCCTCTCAAACCCTGGGCAGGAAGCTGTTGGATGATTTGCCCTTGATTCAGAGGTAATCATTCTTAATTTCCTCGGATGGTTGGAGGGTGAGTGTCTAAGATCATAAAAGCTGGCCTTAAGCCCTGAGCTCTTGCTATGTTCCGGGGGAAGGGAGCGGGGTGGGGCGCAGGTCTGGGCATGCCTCCCCATGACACAGCACCACCTGAGTACACTGGCTCAGACTCCTGGGCTCACTTTTTCTAAAAACACAATGTGCCTGGATGGAGCAGGAATACTTCTATCAAAGATGACCACGCAGGCAGGGTGCTCACCTGCCTGTACCCCTGAGCTTGGTACCCATGTCCCCTGGAGCAAACCAGAGGAATTTGGTCTGGTTACAGCTTCCTTCTTGTAGGCCCCCAAACATTGCCTGTTAAGACTTTCAAGGAAGGGATGCCTGGGTGGCTCAGTGGCTGAGCATCAGCCTTTGGCTCAGGTCATGATCCCTGGTCCTGGGATCGAGTCCCACATCAGGCCCCTCACAGGGAGCCTGCTTAGCCCTCTGCCTGTGTCTCTGCCTCTCTCTGTGTCTCTCATGAATAAATAAATAAAATCTAAAAAAAAAAAAAAAAAAAAAAGGATTTCAAGGAAAGCCCAGCACTTCAGAAGAGGCAAACTCTTTTCCCTCCCTTCCCACCCTGCCATGCTCTGGTTGGGGGGGGGGGGGGGCTTGGCTCTTCCTTAAGACTGAGGTTTCCGTATCCTATTTCTTTGTTCTCTCTTTTTTTGCAAACTGATTTAAGGGATGCAAGTAGTCAGTGTTCAAAACCTCAAAACATGTCTGACTTCAGGCCAAATCCACAAACAACTCCATGATTTTCTGAGTTTGCTATCATTGGTTAACGCTGATTCAGAGCATTTCATACAAGTTTCCACTGTGGCTTTGATAAGTCATTTAAGAAAGATCCTATTTGGCAGCCTAATGGCCAATAAAATGAAACCATTCACACTACGGTTCATTTCTGTCAGGCTCAGAGGGCAGTTGGGGATCAGGAAATGTTGCTGGACTGTTTCGGATGAAAACTATTTCTAATGTGGCCCTGGAAACGCTTGCTTCTTATTTGAGATCTTTTTTGTCTCTGATTTCAGCCCTTTTCTGCAGTAACTGAAGCACTTCTCTGCTGACTGTTTTATTCTTTTTTCCTCTATCCGTTCACCAAAACGCATGTAAAAGAAGTGTAAATGCCCAAGGTCCGCGCAAACGTTGCAAAATCCCATTTTGAATGAACCATGTTTGCT